CCAGGCTAGATGGGGCTCTGAGCAACCTGATCTAGTTGTAGATGTCCCTGCCAATTGCAGGGGGGTTGGACTAGATGACCTTTAAAGGTCCCTTCCATCCCAAAGCATTCTATGATTCTATGACCTAGATATAAAAACTTTAGGAGATCAGAACGCTTACTGACAAAAACAGAAGCAAAACAATTGTTCCAGTAGTCTATTATACGGTGTATAATTGCTCTACACCAATTGCTACTGTTGAAACCATCAGGAAAATCAAGTGGTAGGGGGTAAAGGGAAACAGCAAGGGCCACTTTATAAAAAAGTCAATATATTTAAAAGCTATTTATTTTTACAAGGGTTTAACCCTCTCTGTAACACCAGGATTTAGTGGCCTGTGTACCAAGGATCCAAGGACTCAGCTGCATAACCTTGACTCAGACTGCTGAGAGAGAGCTGTGAGAAAGTCTGTAGAGAGGTAACAGTGATGATGTAGGCAGATGTAGGATCGTTGAGTTGGGGACTGTTAGTAGCTCAAGGAGTCAAGAGGGAAAACACCAGCATGGTGTGTGTGTATGTATGTATGGTACATACCTTCCTAGTCAGCATTTAAATGAACACATACTTCAAGAAAAAAAAAAAAAATTCCTGGAAATTTTCATATACTTTCATTGTAATTGAAAAACAACGCTGAAGCAGCTTACCACCTCTGTTGATGTTTCTGCGTGTTCAGAAGCAACATGTTCTTGAAGAGATGTTTCCGTATAACCCATCTTTCCACAATATGGACAAGTAAAGGACTGTGGCTGCTCTACAGAGAAAGCTTCTCCACCATAATACAAATCTGGAAAAAGATGATGTTTTAGGAGGAGTTATTTTCAAGCAGCATAGTTCATTTTTTAATTTATATAACCTCTTTATATATACACCTATATGCATGTAATCACTGTCAAATTCATCAATTATTTAATAAACATTTTAATTCTGCACAAAGTGCATATGCCAATATTATAAAGTTGTTCGATGACTCAACTTCCAAAAGAATAGACAGACTACATAATTTTCACTGGCAAACAACATAACTTACTAACATCCAAAAAGAGCAAAGTCTGATGGTGCTGCCAAACCATCACTTTTCCCCCATCCTTGTTTTTACCATAGGTGAGCTTGTATTACAGATAAGATCACTGTAGATGCACTGTGCTCTCACAGCCTTACTTGCAGCAAATCTATGTTAAGTATCGTAATTTAAAATGCCTCAGTACCACCAGCAATCCATATGTTGATATCAGTGCCATAGCTGAACCAGTGTTTAACAATAAGGGGAAATTTTAGTGAAACAAAAGGAGTGAGATGTTACGTACCAGTTTCAATACTTCAGCACTTCTTGAATACCGAAGTAGCAGCCTCCCTTAAACTGCTAATTTAGCAATTAACATGAGTCAAACTGATCATGAAAATTTAACAAACCATGCTAAATTCATACTAAATTGCATCACTCCAAGAAAAGTTTCCTTCGCTGCTTATAGAGGAAGAGCACTATGATGCTTAGGCTCAGAATGCTCTTCTAAAGGAGGCTCTCTAAAGGGGACTTGATGGCATACTAAATTAGATTTCAAGCCTGAAGGTATTTAGAAACTATAGTGTTTCCTAAGGAAAATGGCTTTAGGACATCTGACAATCTCAATGGGGAAGAAAAAGAACAATTTTGCTTTATCAACCACAGAGATAGCACATTCTTCTCTCTGGTTGCAAACCTCCTGGCACTCATTCAGAAATACACTAGCATTCCTCAGACAAAACCAGTATTTCAAGGAGCCGATTCAGAACTAAATGTAACAATTTGTCCTTATAGATCGAGGAGACATATTACTTTAAGAAGGTACACAGAAGACAGAGGAATTTTAATAACAATTATTTTCATACAAGTGCAACTTCATTTCAATTTAATATATGTAAACTAAAAATGTTGACATCATAAAAGTAATATGCTGATTTCACACTAATATTTGAACTAAAAAGTTGAAGAAACTGAATGCTGACAAGCTTTTTGCCTCCCTCCCCTTTTTTTTTTTTTTGAGGTGGTACTTTAATACTGAGAAATAAGCTTCATTAATCAGAACAGTATTACCCTTTAAGCTACTGCATCTTCTGTTCTGCTTCACATTTTCTAGCTAAAAAGCTTCTCAAGCCCTCTGGCTAGGTACCCTGCCAAAAGCATAAAGAAAGAATGCATACCTCTTTATATCTCCCCCCCTTTGTAAATACTCAGATAAAGACATATAATAATATAGCTACATCTTTCATATAGACTCTAACCTTTTGTAAATCACCATTTTTTGTCCTGCTTTACTGAATGGAGTGATCTAATCCCAACAAATAGAATTTCTATTCACCTTATTCAGAACTCTAACAGAAACCTCCCTTTTCAATAAAAATGCAGCACAAGAGCCACGTTTGCTAGAGTAAAACGTAAGTTTGGCAGAGTCTGGAAAAAGTTGCCAATTGCTTCCATATAGCGCATCAATACTTCAACCTTTTTGAAATATCTCAGAGTATAGCCATGTCCAGTAGCAAGAAACAGCACGTTCTCTGTTTTTCTTCATACAAATTCATCAGTTTCTCAGTGTTCAGCTACAGAGCTAAGTAGTGCTTGCTGGGCTAACTACTTGAGAACCAGAAACACTCTGCTGGGTCTGACAGAGACCCCATGGCAGGGATTCAGTTAATTTATCCAGCAGTAGCTGGACATTCTGTTGTTGATACCACATACCAAAGCCATGAATGATAATGATGCAGATTACAGGTGATGATGCAGATTACAAAGGATTTGATTTGATGCCCAGTTGTCAACACCTAACGCTGCCAACACAGCTATCACTACTTGACTTAGCAAGACATGTAAGACTAAATGGATCATCTTCTAATAGTTTAAGACTGGTAAAGCCTCAAGCTGAATTCTAGTCAATCTATCTAGACCTCAGACTTGGCATTTTTAAGCTTAACTTCATGTAAGCAGCTCACATTTTTGCAAAAAGTAGCGGAAGGGTTTTGATCTTGTACCCTATAAGCACCTGAGCTGAACTTACGCTGGGGACTTAAACAGAAGTAACACGATATAAGCTCTTAAATACAATTTTCCAGGAAAATCATATTACTTTCTTTGCCTAGTGTAACCCCTTAAAAATGGCAGGGATAGTGAGAAAACAACATGCTTCCACATAATACAAATCATAAAGCATCCTAATAGCTTAGAATGTAGAGTTTGTGGCTCACTGCCAGCAATTCTTTTTCAGGAACACCAAAACTGGGAAGTCTGCTCTGAACTTCTATGCTGTTCTAGAAAAAACTATAATTTCTACAGGGACTACTAGATATGCACATCCCTATTTTTGAAATAGATCTATTGCAATGCTGTTCTGTCCTTTGCTATGACAGCATACCAATGTTTGTGCCCATTCAGCATTTTAAAGTTTATGTTTAACAAGCATCTTTTCCCAGCATCACTCTAGGAACTGAAGAACAATACAACTGTCACTGTTCAGAATTCCACCTTCCTCATTCAAAATAGATACTAGATTGTACATTGACTTACAGAAGAAGTGAGCCAACTAGGCTCATAAACACAAACACAGGTGAAGCTGGAAGTCATTAGTACTTCTTATTCATTTCCAACAGTCTCACATGAGTTCCTATACTGGTCCAAGTCTCTGGAAATTCAAGGCCATGACTAAAGCTCCTCCAGGAACCTCTCGTTAGTATATATTTCACAGCATTTTAAGGCTCCTAAGCACTATAATAACTGACCATGTGTGGTAGGTTGACCTTAGCTGGCTGCCAAGTGCCCACCAAGCCGCTCTCACTCCCCCCCTCCTCAACAGGACATGGGGAAGAAATAAGAAGGAAAAGCTCATAGGTCGAGATAAAGACAGGGAGATTGCTTACCAGTTATTGTCATGGGTGAAACAGACTCTTACTTGGGGAAAATTAACTTAATTTATTGCCAATTAAAAATAGAGTAGGATGGTAAGGAACAAAGCCAAAACTAAAAACATTCCCCCCCCACCCTCCTCTTCTTCCCAGGCTCAACTTCACTCATGATTCTTGTACCTCCTTCCCCCCGAGCGGCGCAGGGGGATGGGGAATGGGGGTTGCAGTCAGTTCATAACACTTCATCTCTGCTGCTAATTCCTC